ACCAGGAGGAGCGTCCAGAAGAAGACGGAGCCCCTCCCCCGGTCCAAAGAGACAGAGACCGACTCGGATGAGGGCGAAAACTTCATGGATAAGAGGGCGCTCAACATCAAGGAGAACAAAGCGATGGTAGGGGCAGGCTTCAGCGGCGAGAGGACAGGGTTCCTGCATGGTGCCTGTAAAGATCCCACTGATGGACTTGTCTCATTTCTTCTCCCCAGCTTGCCAAACTGATGGCAGAGCTGAACAAAGTACCGGGGCTGTTTCCAAAGAGGATGTCTCTCCCTGCCACAAACACGGTAAGGAAACGTTACCTAGCGTAGTTGCTATAGCACCCTGGGGATGCAGGGACAAAAATCAGTCGTTCTCATGTCTTTAAATTGGGTGCCCCACACCACACACAATTAGGGAAGTCCCTCCCAAAATGGGAGCACTGTCATTCTAAACAGCTTCTACGGAGGCCCCTGATTGGACAGGGGGTGACTGGGGGGGTTCTGATTGGCCAGGGGATGATTGGGGGTGTGTCTCTCTCCTTGCAGCTGCGCCGCGTCCCACGACGTTCTCTGGGGACCCCGGCCGCCCTCAGGAGGAACCCTGAGCGCCTCTCTCGGCCCCACACCCGCTCCCGGTCCCTCGTTGACGGCCCCCCCAGCCCCCTTCCGGAAGAAGACCCCGAGGACAAATTCAACCTTGTGCGCAAGAGCCGCTACTATGAAGAAGTGGAGGAAGAGTGGGTGAGTTTGGATTGGAAAGACTGCAAAACTCAGACTATTTAAGCCTGCCCTTCCTGGTCAGACACACAAAAACGCACATGCTCTAAAACCAGGGCTAGGCAGCCCTGATTCTGGAGTGCCACAGAGATTGTTTTCCCTCTCTCAAGCTGAGCTCCTAATTTGATCAATTTCTGCACTAGATTTATGCAAGTTACTGTTTGTACGTAGTGAGACAAGGAGCACCGTCATAAAGTTCACCGGCAGTGATTTAATGTGATAAATGATCTGATTGCATGATTAAGACCTCGGACAGAATAAAAATCGGGCGCCCCATCAGCATTTCAGGACAGGGGGTTGCCTACGCCTGTTCTAAACTGAAAGCATTGCCCTTTCCCCTGCGTAAGGGCGTTAACTGAGCAGGATGAAGCGCTCACCTGTCTCAGGTCATGCTGCTTTGAGCAGTGGCTCTGGCACGTGGTCGTGACGGTCGGTTTCCGCGTTTTACAGAGGGAGCCCCGCAGGCGCAGCTACAACGGGGTGCTGGCCATCCCCCATGTGGTGCGGCCCGTGGAGGAGATCACGGAGGCCGAGCTGAACAACATCTGCTCCACCGCCAGCGAGAAGATCTACAACCGTGCTACGGTAAGCCCGGCCCCCCGCGCGGTCGCACACGCACACCCTCGCTTCGCCGTAACGCCGCTGACCCTTTCCGCTCGGCCCCCCCGCAGGGCTCCACGTGCCACCAGTGCCGCCAGAAGACCATCGACACCAAGACCAACTGCCGCAACCCTGAGTGCGTGGGGGTGAGGGGTCAGTTCTGCGGGCCCTGCCTCCGCAACCGCTACGGCGAGGAGGTCCGGAACGCCCTGCTGGACCCTGTGAGTACTGCACCCTCTCCTCTTACATCTGTCACAGGGCACACGCTAAGCACCTGCTATGCTTTTCGGAACGGATCACTCAAATTTCAGGATGAGTCTGGATACAGCATTAATATATTTGTTGAATTCAGAGAAAAGGGTTGTTGTGTACTAGTTAAATGTGCTTTATTTGTTTGCACTTTCCCATCGATCTGAGGCTTTGATGGGAAAAGTATTTGTATAAAGCGTGGAACGAATTGCTTAATTTGTCAGGACGAATCTGGATACGGCTTAGATAATGGTTGAATTCAGTAAAAAGGAGTGTTCGGCAGTTGATATACTGTATTTGTTTGAGCAGTCTGAGGCCCTGTCCACACGTACACGGGTATTTTTAAAAATGTAGCTTTTCTATGCGTTTTGGCCTTTCGTCCACACGCAAACAGCATTTTAGGTCACTGAAAACGGATCTTTTGCAAAACGCCTTCCAGGGTGAAGACTTTCAGAAACTCCGTTTTCAGTGTTCACGTGTAGACGGGGAAAAACTGAGTTTTTGGCTTGTGACGTCAGAGTGTGCACCGTAGTAACTTTTTCAGGCTTCTGATTGGCCAACATGGCTTTACGGTTAGGGTTATATCGTCGCCTGTTGGTTTGGCATGCTCTTGACAGCGTGTGTTTGCGTTTTCGTGTGGACGGAGATTTTAAGAACGAAGGAGGGAAAAACCCCCGTTTCCAAAAATACCCGTGTACGTGTGGACATGGCCTGAGGCTGTGAGGGGAATGTACCTGTCGTGGTGGTTTTTAGGGCTCTGACGTTCCCGTCTGTTTCAGGACTGGCGCTGCCCGCCCTGCAGGGGCATCTGCAACTGCAGCTTCTGCCGGGCGCGAGAGGGCCGCTGTGCCACCGGCGTGCTCGTCTACCTGGCCAAATACCACGGCTACGACAACGTGCACGCCTACCTGCTCAGGTGACCCTTGCACAACTTTAGCGTACTTACTGTCAGTGGGAGGGGTATTGTAGTGGTTTTTGAGGGTTTTTTTCCTCCTCTCTGTAGTTAAATCTTGCCACATCAGTGATAACCTTGACAAGATGGCTACTGATTTTTGGGGTGGAGTATTAACTCGCTTCTGTTTTTTGTAGTCTGAAACGAGAGCTGGAGGCGAGCCAGTGAACCAATCAGCTGCAGCCTGTCCCACCCCCCTGCTGTTCCTGACCAATGGCATCTCTTGAAATTCCCTCCCCAATGTGGCTGTGATGATTTAATGTTGATTGTTTCCTCTGTGCCTACCATGCAGGTTGCATAGTCGATTTGAAGCGCTTTTCCTAGTTCAGTAGTCAATTGGAAATGATCAGCATGAAAAGTCCTGAAATTGCATTGTTTTAAATGTGTAATGCTTTAGCTGTTTTTAAACAAGCAGAAGTGTCATGAAACTTTCTTTACATGTAACAATCATAATGCTCCATCAACTGACATTGAATTTTACTTAAAATGGTGCCTACTTGATATTTGTGTCATATCCTTGTTCTGAAATTAAGTTGCACCCCTGTTCAAAAAAATTAGAATATATGCTTGCTTATATTGTTCGTGTTCCTGTTGATTGCTGATTGTGTTGGTGTTGTCCCTCGTTTTGTTAAAAACCTTAAGGAATATATCTTGTATCCCAGTAATAAAATGAGCTTTAATTTTTTTGCATTTTCATGGGTTTTTTTCATGCTTTATCATATTTATGCAGCACTTATGGGATTTTTACATATGTGTAAGAGGTTGTTGCAAGGTGAACAAACCCATAATATGCTTCACACTGCAAGTCCCATGATGCACCATGGCGAGGTGTCACCTCATTGGAGGATGGGGGATGCTCCACTGACATCATCCGAGCAACTCGCAGGCGCTGACAAATCACAGAGCGGTGAGACGAGGAAACCCTGGCTGACCTACCCAGCCCCATCCTCAGCAGTTTGAAGCCAAACTGTGCTTATGGTCATTGTCAGCAGATGCCATGGCAGGTTTTGAACCCATGGCATACGACTGCCTCCAATGTCTTACCAATTCATTCAATTTCATTCATTTAGCAGATACTCTTAGCCAGAGCAACTTCCAGCACAATAGAATGTAAGTGTATCCAGTTAAAAATGGTCAGATCTTCTGATTTTGATGAAAAGTACACCTTAAATTTGGAAAGTAGGCAACATTTTTGACTCAAGCCTTGCTATGCCACAAGTTGTTTGGAATGAAGAGTAATTGCCACGTAGTTGATACTCCCTTACCTTATCTCAAACCCTCAGTGTACACAGGCTTTTTTAATATACAAGACAAACACCATTTGCATTTTAAGAAGTGTTTTGAACCACGTGATATTTCAGATTCTGATTTTAAACCAAACCATAAAGCACGCATAAATACAAACAGGAACTGGGTGTGGACCAGGCTTGACACCATGAATCCGGGTCTCGGCCAGGTCCCACCCTGAACGCCGCCTCCCCCCTTTCTGGCCCCTGAAGAAAACCATTACTGTCCCCGGCACAGCACGGAGAGGAACACTTTGATATACGGCAGCGCCTGCTGGAATACTTCATTAGATAACCAGCACTAATGGGGTGGAAACAATTAGCAGCCCCTAATGGGAATCTCACACCAGTAAATCATTTAACACTTAAAAAGCATTTCCCCCTCTCTCCCTCTTCCCTCTCTTCCCCTTATGGAGATGGGCTTCGGTGTAAGATGCAGGAAATGGTCTTTCAGGTGTCAGTCAGGTGTTGTGTAATTGCTGCCTGTTTTTTTTTCTGTAAGTGTGTGACCTCCCTGTATCGGTTTGCAGCAGGGAGCAGGCGCATGTGAGAGTGACCTGTGTGTCAGAAACTACAAATCCCAGAGGCTGTATTGTTTACCTTCATTTACCTTCAATCAAATCCATCTGGACATGGGAGTTGAAGGGTACAGCATGTCTGAGTATTTACATGTATCTGTGTGTGTGTGTGTGTGTGTGTGTGTGTAAAAGACATTACAATGCTTTTCTCTGTGCATCCATAATGAGCACTCATATAGCCACAGTTTTGGGGGTGACAGTGTGTGGTACAGTCATCTCTTAACTGGATTTGCAAACAGGATTGCAGGTTTTATTCCCAGATGTGACACTGCTGTTGTACCCTTATGCTGGGCACTTGATATTCATCTGTATAAATGTGATCTTCAGTGGAACCCACAAAACCTGGTTAAGTTTGTAATGTCTACTTATTATGTCCTGAGGCCATTTTTTCCTCCAGGCCAGGCTTGGGATCACCACTGCGATAAAAGTAGAGTTTACATTATAGGCATTTAGCTCTTATCCAGCATGACTTACATCAGTTACAGTTTTTTTTCACAATGCTATCTATTTATACAGTTGGATATTCACTGAGGCAATTCTAGGTTAAATACCTTTCCCAAGGGTACAGCAGCAGTGGCCTTATGGAATTGAACCAGCAACCTTTCAGTTGCAAGTCTTGCTCCTTAACCACTATGCTACACTGCCACCCTGGTTTAGTCTACTAGCATGTGTAACAAGCACGACCAAATCACATTTTTCATTTTTAATGGGTGTCAATTAAATTTAATTCTTCAGATGAATTCACATTTTTAACGCGCAGGCCATGAAAATAAATGCAATATTCACTGTCACTGACATTTCAGTGTCGCTTTGTGGTAAAGCTCATCGCCATGGTCACATGCGGTCCTTTGCACTTTCTCACAGACTGTGAAGGTCAGTGGAAAAGGGTCCATGCGAGATGATTTGGATTGAAATGCTGTGCTCATTTCTGAGCTTTAACCATAGTATGCAGTATTTTCAGGATCACACATTGTGCTGCTTATACTTAGTGTCAAAAGATAAGTACAAATGTTCTTGGCCAAAATACAGTCGAAATTGCTTCACTATAACTGATTTATTTGTTTAGTTTGATTTCTTCGATATTTAAGAGTGTCTGTGGTTTCAGATAAGGTTAGTTATAACATGCATACATTCTGTGTAAAAATGCAAAAATACTCTTATAATTATGATATCAAGACTGTCTGATATGAAGACGTGAACAGCTATTCTGAAAGAATTACGTTAATGACATTTACATTCCACTGTGAATACAGTATGTTGACAGACAGGTTTTGTTTCTCACATTCTAAGCATTTCATAAGGAAAAACATCTTTAAGCATAAAAATCACAGCAGTTTATTTGTAGTGTTTTTCCTGAGGATCTTATTTTTTTTTATTTTTTCACATTTCACCTTCAAAAAAACAAATGCTTCAAAAACTATTAGCATAATAAAGATGCACTTGAAAATACCAGTATTAAATACCAATGATCATCCACTTTGGGGTGATGAATATTTAGGGAAATAATTGTTTACGACGCTCGAGCATTGAGCTGATCTGGTAATCAAGCTATGAAATACAATATTTATTCATTAGAGCGGATTTAATGAGGCCTCGCGGCGCTAATTATGAAAACTACTGTAGCAGTAAATTAGCAACGAGTGGAGGCAGGAGGCTGGGTACCTGCGAGGAGGAGGACTCGAGGCTGAGCGACGCGGAGACTGGCGCCCGGGCGTCGCCGGGATGCGCGTCTGGGCCGCCCGGTCCGCCGCGGCGTGGCACGGCACCCGGAGACGTGGGCGGACGGGCAGGCTCTTTTGGAGCTCCCCTGGCTCCTCCCTGTGTCTGTCTGGTGGTGTTCCTGAATGCAGCCTGCAATGGCAGTCCTCTGTAAAGCTGTGATGAACTGTGTCAAGCCGGTTGCTGCTGTCATTGTACGTCAAGTGATAATGATGTCATTGTTGTCAAGGGGTGGCAGTGTAGCATAACGGTTAAGGAGTAGGACTTGTAACCGAATGGTTGCTGGTTCATTTCCCTGCTGGGACACTGCTGTTGTACCCTTGGACAAGGTACTTAATCCACAATTGCCTCAGAAACTACCCAGCTGTATAAATGGATAACATTGTAAAAACAAAAAAATGTAACTGATGTAAGTTGTTCTGGATAAGAGTGACTGCTAAATGCCAATAATGTAAATGTAATGTTGTTAGTGGCAGAGAGGGCTGCAGTTGTTGCAAGTGGTAGAGCTGTAGGTGGTCAGTGGTTGTTGGTTAAATGCGACTAGTTTTGGTAGCTCTCTATCATAGGTGGAGAGGGTGCTGGTGTTTAGAGTGTACTGTAGGTGTATGGGTATTAGGCTATGATCCTGGACAGGGGAGGTATTCTGCACTGTGTTTAGACCAGGAAGGAGCTGAGTGGAAATGGCATTCCACCAACTTTGGATTGCGCAATGTTTTTGTTTTAACTTATGATCTCAGACTTCTTGTTGGAGGTAAACATGTCTCTTTTTTGTAAAGAAAAGCAGATATTGGACCATTTGTATGTTAGCCAGTTAGGCACAGCCTCAGCAAGTTAGCCGGCATTTGATATTTCAGTAAGATCCTATCTCTATGTGTGGTGCTGGACCAGCCAGCTTGACCAGCTAGGTGCGGCTGCGAGCTAGGTAAAAGAGCATCTTACATGTCACAGATATGAAAGTGTTTTAGTATTCACAAAGAAGAGCTGATTTCAGGTAAAAGAGGTAAAATGAAATGCATTGCTGCTTATTACTAGTGCTAGTAAGCAAGGACACTGCAGGTAAGAACTGCATTCTCTAGAAAGAGGCATGCTCCCTCGGCTTGCAACAAAACTTTCCTCGGTGGAATTCATTACACAACTTGGTGCCATGTTCTGTGCTCTGTTGGAACTCAAAGATCTTTCAGGGGGTTTGCAGTGATGGGACATTGTTTTATTGCAGAGGTAATGTGTACATGTTCTGCACCTGCTCTGGACCACAATAAAAAACAGACTGAAAAACATAGTGTTCTCAAAGGGGTGTTTTTATTCCAACACCTTTTAGGAATTCTATGTCACCTTTGCACGTAAATATTATGTAATATTGTATGCTTGGTTGAGGATGAAATTATAAAACAAACTTTTTTGTGGATAGCATTCTGACTGTGTCACAGTACTTCACACGCACACACTTTTTTTCTGCTTTGTTTCTTCGATTTGGCGCGTGTTGCTGATGTCATCACGCCGGTAGAGGCAGTCTCCCTTCCAGGTAAGGTCACACAGGTGACCTGCTGACCGGAAGAGGAGGAGGGGAAATCTCAGCGGCAACTTTGAACAGGACGGAGATCTATTGTTTTGGTTCAGTCTGGATGGGGAGAGCAGTAGTTATCGTTTGTTTGGGCTTATAAGGAATTTGATCATTTTGTGAGGGCTGTTTGAACAGCGCTTGTTAAGGGCCTACAGCGACCGTAGCGCTATGTCGCTTTTGTTATGCTGTTCTGTTGCTGGGACTCGCAAAACGGCATTTTGGAGACACCTGTTCGCCGTCCATTCCCCGAAGCCGAGGGTGGGACTGTTGCCTTTGTGCAATCATTTGCAATAATAATTAAATCAAACTGACCAAACATTCGCCGTGGTTCCGGTGCTTGTAGAGTCGACAATACAGCTGACCCGCAAATAGATCCCAGGATACGGTGAGTCAGTAAACCCACCTCGGTTATCTTGGCTTAGGAGGTCTGTCTTGTGCCACTTCTTGCATACACTCAGGTTATGCTAGCAATACCTCAACAGCCATTTCTCATCGTTTGATTGGGTGCCAGGGAAGATAGTCGTAACAGGAGATATTGTCACATTCTCAGTTTTAATCTGTCAAAAATATTATGGAAAATTCGTTGTTAACACTTCGTGTGATAGAATCAGTGGACCTGTCAGACGCTAGGCTATGTTCTAATTCCAGGCCCTAAGTTGTATTATACGGTGATCATTTTAAGCAAACATTGAAACTGATCTAAAACATGTAGCCTATACCTTTGGGCACGGTCTCCTTTCACCTGTTGCTGTCTCCCGCAGTAGTCTTCCAGTCAATATGTGTTATTCGCAGAAGAGAAATACGATTAAATACCAGCAGTGTTCTCCCGTTCACTTTATATGTCCGATCTCTCAAATCGGAAAAAATGTAAAATTTGCACCACCTATCTCCCCATTATCATCGACAGAAAAAAATGAAAATCTGGTAGTCCAATGTCCCCCCAAAACCAATTTAGCCCATTTTAGTCTTGTCAAAAAGGAAAAACAAAAAATCGAGGAGTTCGAACCGTTCTTTTTTCTCAATTGAAGGAAAGTGTTAGAAAAGTGAACTGACAAGCCTTACACTGACCCACCGCTCTGTAAATTTCGGTCCAACCCATGGTGCTGTATGAAAACGCACACAAACACACATCAAACACACGGTCATTTCTCTCTTAAATGTGTGCAGCCCACCGCGATGAACCGTCCTCTCAAATTGCTGCATAATAATCATCTTTGATGTGACATTCCACGTTTAATGAGAGCCCAACCCGCGATTACTAATTCAAACGCAGCGTCTGGAGAAGACGCTAAATGTGACATGAAGAGCTACTGACCACTCTCTTCCTTTTGAAGAAGCTTCTGCTTCAACATTACACCCGAATCTGGCAGAGGGAGACATCTCTCCGCCGGCCCTCACGACCCGAAATGTGGACGGGGAAGTGTGTGTGACACAGGGCGATGTCGCTTGTGGCGCCTTTGCGCGTCTCTCGCTATCGCGCCAGACTGCAGTGATGGACACGCCGGCTTGGTCCAGGTGTCAGGGACTTTATCAAAGAAAAGGGCTGTCTGCAGTAGCTCCGTCTCCGAGGAAATTGCCAACTCACCCTAACAAAAGAAATAGCGAGAGCACTCTGCTCCGTCTCAAAAGAAGCGTGATAAGATGACACGATAAATAGTCAATTCCTTGCGGACGGGGGGAGAAACACTTCTGGCGGCTGAATCTGACAATTCTGTTATTTCCCCGCATTAAATCAGCCATTTATTTGTTCTGTTGTCTGAGAATGTTCATATAAAAATGCGGTCTAATGTTATGAATAATTTAAGCGCGACATCTGCACCAGCATGTACACCTGTTGAAGCGACTATTTGACAATTGTACATAATTGCCCGGTTACCTAGTCAAAACATATTGGGAAACCTTTCGATGAGACTAATGTCATATTGACGTGTTTTTGTTTGATAATGTACAGTGCACTGTATGTATAAAAATTGTGTGTGTGAGAGAGAGAGATCAATATCCAGTCTTCATACGCAATTTATCTGTCTGAAAAAAACATTACTACTTTATACTCATGTTAAATGGTAATTGTAAGATAATCTACAATTGTGGCTCGACATTCACTTAATTACTTGTTGAATGGTGAGTTGAGTATTTGAAAATTAAGCCTGTGGAAAGTGTTTAGTTGCACATTCACTACATACTAAGACTAAGACCCATACATCACAAATGCACAAGCCCTTAATTCATCCAACCAAATAAGTTCCCTGGGTTTCATTCTGTCTGGACAGGGGTGTTTTACTGACATGCTCTGAAACAGCTCACAGACTGCATCAGCAACCGGGTCCCCAGAGCCAGCTCCTCAAGTGATCTAATAGATTTCTCT